CCACCGTCCTGGTATGAAACTAGCTGCAAGGTGGCAAATCTTTCTCTAATCTACAATGACTGCTGCCGCCTGTGTTGGCAGCGACATGAGGCAGAATTTCGCAGGGGTGACCTCGGGATTCCAGGGGTTCCCAATCCCTAAACCATCAAAGCCTTGAAAAATGGAGATTATGCAGGGCCTGCTCGACTAATGTGCACGGGCCATCCAAGTATTCAAGTAATAAGTAAATAATCGACGATTTTTTAAAAAAAAAAGACTGCTATAATGTGCCTTATTTCATTTATGGCCTAGTGAATACGGAAAAAACTTTACAGGAAAGAGATTTCTTTCTGATGACTAAACAGCACCAAAGGTTTGGATACCTTAAAAAGAGACTTACCTTAGAAAGATTTTATTGTCTTCACTCTTCTAATCCTATCTCTAGTAGTTTCTTTTTGAACGACAACAAGTCAATCATAAAAGTGTTTTCGCGAGTTGCAAGTGAAAAAGGCGTCCTCTAAATCTCCGCTTGAAAAATTTTTAGTGACTTTTAAATGGAAACAGAACAATCAACTTTTTCGCATTTTACACTTTTGTTTAGCGTCTTGCTTTAGTCTGACTAACCAACGGTCTTGCCATTTGCCACTTTATTGCTAATTTAATATAAGGGCAAATATCGCTTGAATGGAAATGTCCATCCCATACTCGTTGCAGCACAGCTCGTGCATTAGGCGACCACACCAGATGCCGTGACGAAGTTCGGCCCAAATGGTCCCGAGGCCAAATTTCGCACCACTCGGTCCACCACACTTTGCCACATCTCTCTCGACCAGTTCGCCATGATGACGTTTGTGGTCTACAAAGTTCTTTTCCTTCAAAATGTATTTATTTCGAAAGGAGAGCTATTCAAACCGTAAGAGTTCCTCCAATTGACAACGCCGTAGGGGGAATAGGCTTGAAATTCATCTCACACATCTGATTCGCGTCCATTGTACTACATGTGGCGGTCACCGTGTTGCCAACAACAGCGCAGTAAACTACATTCATCATAACTGAAAGAAACCTCTGCAAGTAAATCATTAGTCACACTCAAAATGGCAATCGCTGTTAATTAACATTACAATCAACGCTGGCATATAATGAAATGTGTTAAGGTTTTTCCGACAGCAAAAATATTCTTTTTAAAAATTGTGATTTTGTTCAAATATTTATAGTAACTTCTTCCTATTGGTGGTTTTGCGCTTCTCAAGGTTTCCATTGCTCCATCCCTGTAAATGTGATAGAAAGTGTTTTGCAGATTATTTCATGAAATAGAATGATAAAAAAGTCGTTTTGCAAAGTAATTGGAGCGGCAAGTACAACCTCAATAAAGGCGGGGTGGTAGCAAAATCTGGGCATCAAACCTTCGACCAGCATTTGGGGTGCTCATTTGTTACCTACTGCACACCAAGTGACTTAAAAGTAGCTGACGATTCGGCGGTATCGACGTCTTTCAATGCCTGGAAGAGTCTAATGAAATGTAATTTACTGTGCCAAATGCATCAACAACGCTAACAGCAAAATGAAAACTGTAACGGCGTTAAAGCAGCCGAAAAATTCTCGGAGAACTTCCGGGCCTTCCGCTGAAAGAACAGCCGCTCAGAGTCGCAAATGGTTGATGACTGCACCATCCTTCAACAGAAACCAATTCTGGGATATGGGGCTAGATTTCGTGCGATCTCTGGGCATTCTTGCCTTCTACTTGTTTTCGCATTCTTGCCATCTAACCAAAATCGTCGAGAAGTTTGTACGTTGTTGTTCGGAAATTCGGTGCGAAGACAGCGACTTTTATATCAAAATCTTCTCCACTATGATTTTGTTTTCCATGTGTTCTTGGAGACGTACCTCGTATTACTTCTCGTTTATCATATACGAATACATAATGGTCTACCCGTTTCGTCATTGTATCGACCTCTGCAAGTATTACAAGAGTTCAGCCATATAGCACCTGAACTCATGCAGCCACCGTCCTGCAGCCAAGAGCAAATTACGCAATTGTGGATTCCACATTTGGCACCTTTAGGAGGCTGCGAACTAACCAACAACGAAAAGTGTCTGGTAGTATTCCAGTTATCGTTTCCGTTTCCTAGAGACCTATCGTGCTTAAGCAAAGCTTCATGGCTTCCCTTACTATTTCACTGCCATTAGAGGGCTAGATAAATGCGATTTTCTTTTGGCTCAAATACTCGTTTTAGAGCTTCGCTTTTTTTTACGACTGTCTAACAGGGTTGTTATTTTCCAGCTATTGAAGATGGCCATTGACTGAGCCAAGTCACGCGAGTTTTCTTTTAGCTTCCTATTTGTGCGCACAGAGGTGGTTGTTCTAAAGGTGTTTCTCGCTAGCGTCCTCTCGATGTGCAGAGAGTGGGATGAGAGGAAGTGAACCAATATGTTCTCATTTCTCGACTTTTGGCACCAAACTGTTATCTAATTGTTATCTGATATGGTAAATTAAATTTTAAAAAGTGGAAGCCAGTTTTTCTTTGGTTTTTCCAGGTAACGTTAACGCAACAGCCAATTCGTTCAATAGTTCACATTATTTCTCCATCCCCTCCTGAGTAGGCAATATGGCAAAACAGTCATCTCTATTTTCTTCGTATCTTTGTTGAGCTCAGAGCCTGGAAAGGTTAAGTTGATAGCAATCTACTCGGCCAGACGCCTCCATAACCAGACAAAGAAAGTCTAAACCAAGATTTCAATCACTTTGCACACAGCTTTGCAAACTCACCGCTTCCTATGAGGTTATCACTAAGTATGTCACGTAGAGACCAACCGCACAGAAATCACGTAGAATTATAATGTGCCCCTCACATCAGAAAAGCAGTTTTATATACTGCCCTATATCACGCGTGATAATGAGGCATTCTTCCCTGCGGTTCATTTTCGGATTTCTGGAATTAATCCAGAGTACCTCGAGAGTTTTTCGCGCCTGTGTTCTTGATTCGCGTGCGACGATCGTGACACATACTTCGAAGTCGTCCCCGTTATGTCTCTGGGTCCTATGCGTGCCTAGCGGGGTATTTGGTCTATTTTTGCCGGCTAGGTGTTCTTTCATGGACACAGAGGGGTCTACCCGTTTCGCCAATGTATTCGTCACCACACGTCTTACAGGAGAACAGATAAACTATACCCGAGCTCATGCAATCCGGAATTCGAAAATGGCTTCCATTGCGGAATCATTTGATACATTGATGTGATGGGCGGTAATGCCGAAGCACTCCATATCATAAGCGTTGTTGGCAGACGCATTGCGAAGGCGTTCTAGGAGCAATTGGATGTTCGCCGAAAAGTGGAATAGTAAGGAAGAATGTTCAGAGAACATGCATGATCTAGCCACATACGCCGGAATTGACTTTACATGTGGCATGCGGTGGAGCCATCAACCACAAGCGACTCTATGCGCCTGCTCTTTCTAAATGGAAGGCGTGTTAAGAACAGTGAGCTTTTCGAGAACTGTTGACCATATTATCACTGTTCGGATTTTCGTCTTTCTTATTGTGTTATTGAAGCGTTTAGCCTAGTAAATTACGTATAAATAGACCTTTCCATCCTCTGAAAAGGAGATGTTCCCGAAATGTCAGCTAATGTTGTGTTATATTTGTGTTTTATCCTATAGCAACGTGTTTGAAAATTTGGAACTTAGGTGAGTTTCGACACCTGGATCACTCTTTCTGGGGGTTTACGTTTAAGGAACTGCACCTCCGAGTGCCGTGCCTTGCCTTTCCCTCAACAGGTTTCTTTTTACCGTAACAGTTCTATCAAAAGTCGTCTATTGGAAATCAGCAGAAAAGAACAAATCGACATCGATAACAGCCAAGCTGAAGCTGAACAACTACAATGATGGTTACGAAACTGGGTGGGAGTCGGGCAGTGCCAGAACTTCTTTAATGCAGTAGGCACGATGCCCGCCACCGAAAAGTGTATTCACATGTTCGAAGTTCGCTCGGGATTCCGAATTCTACAGACATCTCAACATCACTGTGCTTCTTTCTTACAGTAATCCATGGTTAAAAAAGGGTAAACAGCAAATAAAAAATAAAGTCGAACAACGTGAAGTGTTTCGGGAGAAATATGCATTTCGTAACCGTCCCCCTTACCAAGCTGCGATTCTTGGAAATTTTCTTTAATAAAAAGGAAATTTCGTTTTAATTACTAAAGTTTCGTGACGTGAAGCCACCAGAATACCCATTTTGTAAAAATGTTTCAAAAAGGCAGATATTGCTTCTTCTTGTTGCTCTACTCCACGAAGATTAATTTCAGAAGAAGACATTGCCATCCTCATCTAACAGTTCTGCTTCTGCTTCTGTTTCGCCTTTAGTTCTCTATCATACCGGCGTAACCTTTATTTAAAAAGGATGGGCCCCTAGTTTGTTGGCTGGTTTCATTTCTTTGCAGGCTCACTAAGCTGTTTGCAAAAATCGTACAACTGCCTCTCGTTAATAGTATTCTTCCACGGATCTCCCTCATATGAGGGATCTCGAGCAGGTTAGTCGCGACGCTGCGTGGAGGTCCTAACTTGGCCGTTAGGGGGTTAGTCGCTGAGCAAAAGCGGTCTTTGCTTCCCTGATACGCAGATGGAGTCAGACAGTGGACTACATGTTTTCGCTGCGCCAATTTGGCGCATGCTCTGTATTTACGAGGTGTACTCATGTATGCGTGTGTGGGTGCGTTCCTGCTTATGCGGATTGTATTCTACGAGTCAATTCGGCCAAAAGCCTGCAATCAAGTGACTGGGAAGTATACGGGAGGCGGTTAGGAGTCGCCTTGAACAAATAAACTCCATGTCCACTCTTGCAGAGACTGGCAAGCTACACAGGAGTACACCCAGTCGCCACATTCAGAGCCAACAAAGCAATACGTGGGTGATCAAAATGCTAAACACAGTAAAAGAAACGGCCCCCATTCCCTGAACCTGAAACAGCACCCAGTTCGGCTATGTTGGGCACGACGATTACGGAGAAGCTACTAAAATTTCAGGGCCAATGGAAGCTGGCTCGATCGCGAAGAAGGTGAGGATCTGTGCCTACAATTCACGAACACTTGCATCCGAGTTTTCGATAGAAGATGACCATGCTAGCAAGAAGGATGAGGTACGTCTCGTTTATGCTACTCTTTATTAGCGATGAAGTAACTGTAGCTATAAAACGACACTTTAAAAAAGCAGGTTTAGAAAAATCGCTAGCGGTAATTGAAATACCACCAGCTACTCTACGTCGTCAATTAGTTCGTAACCGCCTGTATGACCGTCTATGTGGAAGAACAAATTGCGTAATTTGCCCTTACGGCAGGAACGATGATTGCATGAGTTCAGGTACGATATACCTGATCTCTTGTAATAATTGCAGAGATGAAAATATTGGCGAAACGGGCAGACCTTTGTGTATCCGTATAAAAGAACACCTAGATGGCAAACGAAAACTAAGACGAAGAACCCCACTAGGCACGCATAGGATACAAAAGAATAGCGGAGACGATTTTAAAGCAAAAGTCAATATCCTTACACAGGAGACTAAAACACCGGCGCGAAAACTTCTTGAGGCTTTTTGGATAAATGCCAAAAACCCTAAAATGAATAGCAGAGATGAATGCCCAGAGGTTATAGGCGACCTGACCCCGTACGTTCGCATCAATCTGATGTGGCATGGTGCAGTCGTCAACCACATGCGACTATAATCAGCTGTTCTAAACTTCCTCATTGGAAGTCACGAAAAAAGCGGGTGGGTTTTTTCGAGAAGTTGTTGATCATGTAATTACCATATAGTTTTTCGTCTTTTTGTCAGTGTTATTGAAGCGTTTGGCCTAGTAAATTGTACATCAGTATACCCTTCCAGGCTCTGAAGAAGGCGATACTGCCGAAACGTCAGCTAGTGTTGTATTGTATTGTTTTTCTATGGAAGTAAATGCATGCTGTTTAAAAACCTTGCGATTGCTGAACAAGAAAACGACGGATTCATATTCCAATGCCGAGGTTAATAGAAAGTCAATCCTGGAGCCTTGGCAATCTTCGCCGTTTACGCGCCGACATCAAGCTATGGCAAAGAAAAAGTCGAAGTCGTTCTATACGGACTTGGAAAAGTCCTACAAAGAAGACATACATTTTTCAAGTTAGTATTTTAGATTTTAACGCTAAGACCAGACCAAGATAAACGTCTGAAGAACGTCACATTGGGACCCGCGGATTAGCATGGAACGAACAGGGTATGCAGCTCCCAGAGTTTATAACGACTACCAACACCATCCATTGTAGCCTGCAATTCCAGAAGCTCCACCCTCAGCGCTGGACGTGGGAGTCTGCCAATGGAGAGCACCATAAAAAATAAACCACATCATAGTAAATGGAAGGTTTTGCCTAGAAGCTGTCGTTGCTGTCCCGAAATTCTACACGGGATCAGACCACCGTCTCCTTTGTGCAAAATTCTATTTTTCGCGGAAAGGAGAGAAAGCTGCTAAATTCCAAAACCGAAATCGCAAAACCACCGCAAACTGGGATTTATTCAATTCCTTAGTCAGCTGTTGGAAAGATACCGTAGTCAGCACCATCGATAAAGAATACGGTCAGATCATTCAGCATCTTCACATTAGTGATATGAAGGCCGAAAGTTTGATCGTCGCCAAAAACGTTTATCTAAAGAAACTCTCGAACTGATACGCTAACGTAGAATCACAAGAGCTGCAGACAACCGCACTAACATCCGAGCTTGCGAAACAATGCAGACACGCGATGAAGGAATATCTTAAAGAGAGAAAAGCAGCAGTTATGGTCGAAGCTGCAGAGACTGGCAAAAGCATTCGCAAAGCCCACCGATGCTTTGCCAATTACACGACCAAGACGATAGCACTCCGACGTCCAGACGAAACAATTACAACATCCAGAAAGACGATGCAAAAGATCATTCACAAATACTACTCACATTTCTTCAACAACCATGTCTTCCTTCCCTCGTACGAAATAAAGAAAGACGGATATGTTGTACTACCGATTCTTTCTTCCAAAATTCAAATCAGAACACTTGAAGAACCTTCTGCCGGCCCTCGTAAACGCACTGGTTTGGCTGTCCACAAAGTACCCGTCTGAAGGCAAGGTTCCTGCTGGGAAGACCTGCAAGGCCGCTCTATTGTTCAAGAAGAGTGACCTCCACGACATCGACAACTATCGCTCAATCTGCTTGCTGTCTATCGTCTACAAGCTTTTCGCTGGGGTCATCCTAAACACAATTGATAGAACATTGGACTAAGAAGAGCCATATGAGCGAGGAGGCTTTCGAAATGGATTTAGTACGATAAACCACATCCACACGATAACAAGACTCACTGAAGAATGGGGAGAGCACAGAAACCCGCTCTGTCTCACTTTCATCAATTTAAAGAAGGGCTTTGACCTTTTTGAGATAGAAGCAGACATGGAAGCCCTTGATAGTCAGGGAGTCTCTATTCAGTACATAACGATTCTTCGTGAGCTATACAAAGACGTCACAACGAAGGTATCACCATTCTACATTCTATTAATATCGACATCAAACAGGAAAGAGATAAGGTGGTAACATCTCGACAAATTTATTTACGCCATCCCTGAGACTGTCATGCGAGCATTGGAATGGGATAACATGTGAGTGAAAATCGATGGTCGGCAGTTACACATCTCCGCTTTAATGACAACATCGTTCTTATAACACCAAAAATTGTGTAAGTGGAATGAGTGCTTGGCGACATTGATAAAGCCTGTGGAAATACTGGTTTTCGACTAAATCTCACAAAAACGATGTTCATGAAGAACGGGTTGGTTTCGTATGGTCCACTCGCGCTCAACTCAAAGAATGTCTCCGAATGCTCCAGTTACGTCTATCTAGTTCGGGAAATTAATATGATAAACGACTTAGCTCCAGAGTTGAACAGAAAAAAACGAGCGGCTTGGGAAGCTTTCAAGAGCTTTGAGGATGTAGTGAACAGAACAAGGAACACCCGACTCCGAGCCTACGTTTTCGACTCAACGGTACTTCCTGCTCTGACATATGCGTGAGAAACCTGGTCGCTGCGTAAGCAAGATGAAAGATCAGTCAGCATTATCGAACGCGCAGTCGAAAGAACGATGCCAGGAGTATCCCATTCCACTCAAGTAAGAGATGAGATCCGAAGCTCCAATCTGCGTCAGTGATCAAAAATCAAAGATGCCGTTCTGTACGCCAGGCAGTCGAACATAAAATGGACCGGACACGTAATGCGTATGAATGACAACCGGTAGACAACAGTGGTTGAGGACTGGATTTTTCGAGATTTCGAACGCACTGCAGGAAACCACCGACCCGATGGTCAATGTTTTTTACGAAACTACTAGAAGAAAGATATGATGCTTGGAAAGTCACTAGAGCGAGCAGGACCCACTGGGCTCCTCTTGCAAGCGACAAGGAAAAATAGAGGATTTACTGGCTCCCGCCCGAGTCACTCGACGATAAACGGGACTACAGGTGATAGAGGTAATAGTATTCCTAATATTTTCTCTACATACAATTGTTACTCTTTCTTATCTGTTCATATAACCCTATCAAATTTAATGTTTACGCCTGTGGTTTTAGTCGAGTTGGCCTCTTGGTCCGAAGAAATGTGAGAAAAGAAACAATAAACTATCATTCTTTTAATAACAATTTTAGCTTATTATTATATTTCCAACTCTTTTTAGTTTTAGGGTATGCTGCGAAATATAAGTACAATGATGACGAGATACTTGCAAAACACTGAACCACAGGCGACCTTTGTAGGCAACGAACGCGTTATTACCCTTTTCGGGGGCTTACGCGTTCACTAACACACGATGCTGGTCCTCCGCTTCACCTGTCTCTCAGCTAGTTCTGTCGATAGGTACCATCCGCAATCACCTGTTAGAGGAATTAATCTGGAAACCCCAATTAGGCGGCTAACCTAGCTGAGCTGGGTTTGCACTTATAATAACAATTTTAACTTATTATTTACTGCCTGCTCGCAACATGCCCTGCCATTAAAAAGAGTAGACTCACGGTCAGGTCCGCCCATCAAATTCGTTTCTACGGCAGGGCATTCCAATGGAGTATAAATGATCTGAACACTGAGTTGATCTAAAATGACTGCTATAATGGCGTCAGAAAGGCCAGCACCGCGACCTTGCCGTTCTAGAACGTCGAACACCTGAAGAGCCATTTTTGGAAGCCTCTGTGGATGTGTTTTTAATCAATCTATGTAAAACGATAAAAACCGCGCTGAAAATGTTAAATTTAAAGAAATATCGAACAGTTAAAGTTCACTTCCTCCAAAAATCGAAAAACAGAGAGGAAAGCTTGAAATCTAGGGGTTGCGAACTCACTGCTTGCATTACAAGACGTTGTACAAATCCTTGAGCAGCACCCATGTTAGGAGCAATGCCAGGAACTCGCGCGGAGACACCGGGCATTCCCGTGTAAGCCATAGACACTGGCAAGGTGAAGCCGCTGATGGTGAAGCGCCTAGTGCTTGCTGCAACGAAATCTGCTAACTTTGTTGGTAAGAAACATAATAATAATTCGTTGTTATAATAGTAATTAACCAAAAAGTAAAAATAATTGAAAATCAAAGTATTTTGTCAGAAGGGTATTTCAGCAATTTCGCGAGAATCCTCAGAAAATATTTCTCAAAACTCTTCCCTCTCCACATTTTGTTATTCGGATTTCATAGTGTTCTCATCAAAAGGATAGCACTACGAAGGCTTCTGAGTAATTATGATTTGCTAGATTCCTTCAATTTTGCTGAGATTACGAACTCTGAATTTAAAATTGCGATGGTTTGTACAGACACAGCAGTCTTCTACTCACTTACTCACTCCCCTCTACTCTACTTACATTGGCCTGGTGGCACCATTCCACATCCCAACACAGTCGAAAATACGGTTAGAAGCGTAATCAAAAGAGTAGGAATAATTCTTCCGTTAGCATGATAGTTCATTTTTGGTTCCTAAAAATCTAAGCAATTATTGTGAACTCGACTGATAAGGAAGACTAGATTTTCCGCCTTGGATGGTTCACAAGGAAGCAAGTGATTGAAGTTCAATTTCAGTTTTTGAAGTTCTAGTAGTTCAGTTCAGAACAACATTTACGTTAGCGTGAAAGCAGTTTTTTGAAGCAGCAGTTATAAGTTATTCTGCCATCAAAAAGTACATAATAGAAGTCGGTTGTCCATGAGAAATGAACGTTAAGTCTTGAATATGAACGAAGCGCGTGTAAGCGACAACGAAAAATTTTAACGAATGCGCCAATTCTTCAGTTGCCACGGCTCAAATTTTGTTCCCACCATTTGTGTTACAGCGACATAAAATCCTGGCCTTTCTACGAATAAATAAATTTGGAATCGGCAAAACACCGTCGTTAAGAGCGCGTTTTTAAGAAGAAGTTTGTCTAAGGACATATCGAACGAGAAAAACGAACCACAATATTCGGTACAAAACTTTCTTAACAGCCTATTTCTGAGCGGCCAAAATCGCCTCTGTTGAGCTCTGGTGTTCCCACTGGCCTTCCCTGCTTAGTTGGGCTGCGAAATCTCTGTTGCTGTTGGAATTGTTGTCTGATAGGAGAAATAAGAACATCTGCATAATCCCACTGAAAATTTCGGGAACGGGGGAGAAATAGGATAAACCAAGAAAACGATCATTACGAAAAAGTATAAAAGAAGTCGCA